GCGGTTCTCAACCTGTGGGTCGCAAACAATGAAAATACATCCTGCATGTCAGATATTTACATTACGATTCATAACAGTAGCAACATTACAGTTATGAAGTAGCAGCGACAATTTTATGGTTGGGGGTCACCACAACATGAGGAACTGTATTAAGGGGTCGTGGCATTAGGAAGGTTGAGAACCACTGCTCTAAGGGATGCACTGTGAAGATTGGGAGAAGTCCTTACCTACCGTTTCCTGTTCTTGCCGTCCTCTTCTCTCCTCTGATCTTTATTATTTCCTTCTACTAGGTTTGAGGGGTTTCTAGTTCCTTAACTGGTGGAGTTGGGTGGTTGGTTTGTAATCCTTGGTTTTTACTGTCAGCATTTACTGATATATCTCCCCTTAGTGCTGCTTTCTCTGCATTCCACGAGTTTTAGTCTGTTGTGTGTATTTTCATTTGTCTCTAAGTATTTTCTCATTTTCCTTGTGATTTCTTCTTTGATCCGTTGGTTGTTTTAAAATGTGTTTTTTAATTCACAAAGTTGCGGCTTTTCCAGCTGCCTTTCTGTTGCTGGTTACTGGCTTCAGCCCGTTGCACGCTGTGTGCTGTCTGTATTTTTAGGCATGTTGAGGCTGACTTTGTGGCTTAGCAGATGGTCTGCCCTGGAGAATGTGCCGTGAGCGCGGAAGAAGAAGGTGTTCTGCTGCTGGGTTAGGTCTCGCTGGTTTATTGTGTTCAAGGCCTCTGTGTCCTTACTTATCTTATCTTCTATCTGATTGTTACACCTTCATTGAAAGTGGGACAGTAAAGTATTATTGTGAAACTGTGTATTTCTCCTTCAACTCTATCAGTCTTTGCTTCATATATTTTGATGGTCTGTCATTGGGTATGTAAGTGTTTATAACTTATATCTTGTGTTGAACCTTGTATTGACATATGTCTTTTGTGTTTTGTAGCCTTTTTTGATTTAATGTCTATTTTGTCTGATATTAATATAGCCACTCCCACTCTTCTTTTTGGTTACTATTTGCAAGCAATGTCTTTTTTCATCCTTTCACTTTTAACTTCTTTGTGGTTTTGGATCTAAAGGGATCTCTATAAACAGCATATAGTTGGTCATGTTTTGTTTTGTTTTTAAATATATTTTTACTAGAGGCTCAATGCATGAAATTCGTGCAAGGGGCTTGGCCCTCACAGCCCCAGCTTCATCCAGACAGTCATCCAGATGGTCATTCTGCTGTTGGTCTAATTAGCATATTAGCTCTTTATTATGTAGTATTGATTTCAGAGAGGAAGGGAGAGGGAGAGAGCGACAGAAGCATCAACGATGGGAGAGGATCATTGATCAGCTGCCTCCTGCACGCCCCCTACTGGGGATGGAGGCAGCAACCTAGGCATATGAACCTGTCAGGGAATTGAACTGTGACCTCCTGGTTCACAAGTCCACGCTCAACCACTGAGCCACACCCACCAGGTTGGTCATGTTTTTTTTAAACCATTCTTCCAGAGGCTGCCAATTAATTGAAGAATCTAATCTATTGACATTTAAAGTAATTATAAATAAGATGGCCTTATTTCTACCACTTTGCTGTTTTGTCTTCTACGTACCTGATAGCTTTTTGTCCCTCATTTCCCATATTACTGTCCTCTGTTTAGCTGATTTCTTATAGTGAAATGTTTTAATTCCCTTCTCATTTCCTTTTTTTATAATTTTACAACTATTTTCTTTGTGGATATATTTAACATACTCAAGGCATAACACTCTGATTTGAATTTATACGAGCTCTGCTCTGTCCTCTCTCTCTTGTTGATGCTGGGATTTCCATTGGATTGCATTGGATCTGTACATCACTTGGGAACATTTGACCTCTGAGTAATATTGAGTCTCCTGTTGCATGAAGACGGCTTCTCTCCAGGCTTCTCTCGTTTCTCAGTGGTGTGTTGTAGTTTGCAGTGTACAGGTTCTGCACATACTTGTTAAATTTATTACTGAGTAGTTTGCTTTGTTGATGATACTCTAAATGGTATTGTCTTTTTAAACTTTAGTTTTTTGTATGTGGAAATAAATTGATGTTTGCTATTAACTCCGTGTCCCACGACCTTGCTAAAATCACTTAGTGGCTTTTTTGTACACTGTGGTTTTCTATATAGATGATGTCTGCAAATACAGTTCTACTTTCCTTTCTGTATGCCTTTTCTTTCTTTCTTGTGCCTTATTGCGGGAATTTTGTTTTTATATTGTATAGCAAATAATACAGCAATTTTAACAATCTCCCCCTGAGCTCAATCGTCAGATTACAGAGGGCCTTTTCACTGCGGATTTATGATCTGTATAAGTTGAATTTATATTTACTTTTCATTGAAAATATATTATGATTAAGATGAAGCTTTTCATACTTAACACATGATGCATCTCATAATTTTATTATAGAATTTTAGAAGTATGTAATTTAGATACCATTTTTACTGTTAGCACATTTTGAAATGATATAGTTATTTTTATGATAATGATAATAAAGAGTTTTCATTATCATTTAGGAAATATTGAACCAGTGACCTTAGTTATTCAGTTATGATGAAAGGCCTAATCTAACCTTTTATTTATTTTTTTTTATTTTTAAAAAAATATATTTTATTGATTTTTTACAGAGAGGAAGGGAGAGGGATAGAGAGTTAGAAACATCGATGAGAGAGAAACATCGATCAGCTGCCTCCTGCACACCCCCTACTGGGGACGTGCCCGCAACCAAGGTACATGCCCTTGACTGGAATCAAACCTGGGACCTTTCAGTCCGCAGGCCGACGCTCTGTCCACTGAGCAAAACTGGTTATGGCTAACCTTTTATTGAATGTGATATTTATTAAACATGAAACTTCTTATTTCTAGGACTTAATCAATAGGAGATTAAGCCATTTATTACTGCAATTAAAGAAGGCCTTGCAGACTAGATATTCTACTTCCTTGTCACCCAATTTAACTTTATTTTTTTAATTGAATATATTGGGGTGGCATCTAATCTAATAATAGACAAACAGGGTAATTGACCGTACCTTTGCTACACCTCCCATTGGCTAATCAGCAAGATATGCAAATTAACCAACAAAGATGGAGATTAATTTGCATACATAGGTGCAAAGGGGAGCAGCAAAGGCGCTGAAGGCGGCTCCAGCTGGAGCGAAGGCCTGGGTGCCAGGTGCCGGAGGAAAACCGGTGCTGGCAGCCAGGGGAAGGGAAGGCCTATTGCACGAATCTTTTCATGCAACAGGCCTCTAGTTGGTTAACAAAATTATAGTATAGGTTGCAGGTGTAAATTCTATAATATATCATCTCTACATTGTGTTGTGTGTTCTACACCCCAAGTCAAGTCTCCTTCCATCACTTACCCCCCTGCATCTAGTTTAAGTTTAACAATCAGGAAGTAGCCGTCTAAACCCAGGTATGTCACGTCTGTCTGACCCTGCCCTTGTGACTTCAGTGAGGTTGTGGAAGGAACAGTACAATGTGCAGGGAAATAATCTGTAATGGCTCTTTAGGAGGGAACAAGCCCCTTTTACATCTCTCCTTATATTTTACCTGAGAGGGTGTATTTTACTTGCCCTTTAACTATTATTTATTTGCTTAAAACAATGGGATTTGTTAAGTGTGGCAAGAAATGTGTTGCGTAATTGACGTTGGCGGGAAAGAAACCTCCAGTAGGAAAAAGAAAAGGGCGCTGCAGTGGGAGCCTGAGGCCCATCTCTTCTGTGGGGTCTTCTTGTGTTTTCACTGAAATAGAATTTCCCGGGAGGACAGTGTCCAGGTCATGAGGATGCAGCTCAGTGAATTGTCACCAACACAGCCTGTGACGTGGATAATGTTCCGTTACCTTGCACCAGAGCGGTGCCCTCCGACTGTTCCCGGTGCAGTGTGCATGCTGCCAGAGGAATGCAGAAACCGAATCGTGATAGGAATGATAGCCAGCGTGGCTCCGTCCTCCTGTGTGCACGTGTGCTCTCTCAGTTCCTCCTCACAGCACGTCTGGGAGAGAGGTTCTGCTGTCCACAGGTCCACGATGAGAAAACAGGAAAGGAGTACAGTTTGGCCCAGGCCAGTGTGCTAGGGCATCGGCCTGAGCACTGAAGGGTCCCGGGTTCAAGTCCCGGTCAAGGGCATGTATCTGGGTTGCAGGTTCATCCCCAGCCTCGGTCAGGGCTTGTGCAGGAGGCACCTCGTCAATATGTCTCTTTCCCATCAATGTTTCCCTTTCTCTCTCTTCCTCCCTCCTTCCTCCTTCCCTCCCTCTGCCTCTCTCTGTCTCCCCTCTCCCCCCTTCCCCTCCTTCCTGTGTGGTTAAAACATTGTACTCTGTCACCTGTGCTCTTAGTATGGCCCGTTTTCCCCCTCAGATTGACTGCTTAGGAGAATTGGAGAGCTTTATTGTTGGGGAGCCCCTTGAGTTGGGGGCTTTTGTTTAACTACAGGATCGTGAGGCAGTTTTATCTGCTTCACGTGGTGCCTTTCAGAGTTCGGGGTTGAAGTAGACGTGTGAGTTGGTTTTACACTTTTACTCATTCGTCTTTGACTTTCACAGGTGAATATTCAGAGTTCTCTTTGACAGAACACTGATGGAGTGTGTGGCGTTTCTGGCTGGTGGCATATAGTGTCCTTCCTCCCGAACAGGTTCCCTGTGGGGGGCACCTGCCGTGAATGACTTCAGATAACTTGGGCAAAGAGCAAAAGGTAACAGAAAAGGTTAGTTAAGGAAATAAAAGAAGAGTAGAGGTTTTTGCAATGGGAAAAATGAAGCTTAGTTTCATCAGACACCATTGATCCCGGGAGAGAGACGAGCTTTCATGCCTTCTCCTAGCAGCGTCTCCCAGCGAAACCTAGTTGCTATTAATGTGCATAATGGATCACTTTATTAATGGGGTGGGGGGGGAGGCTTATGGAGTAATAAAGCATCACTGCATTGCGTCCTGTGGCGCTGCAGGTGCTGCTCTGTGAGCGGTGGGTGCGCTAACGGGGCCTCTCTCCTAGGCCGCCTCGGAATAGCTGAAAGCTGCCTACCGCAGGCTGTGCATGCTGTACCACCCCGACAAGCACAGAGACCCCGAGCTCAAGTCGCAGGCCGAGCGGCTGTTCAACCTCGTCCACCAGGCTTATGAAGGTCAGTGCCGTCGATTTTTAAGAGACTTGATGTGTGGAGGATAGCGAACGAGAGTCCTTGGAGGGCTGTAGGAGAGGCGGTGAGTCCGGGCCTTTCCATGACAGGGTCTTCGGAAAGAGCAGGGTTTTCTTTGGAAATCAATGTGTCGGTGTCAGTAGGAGACGGCGCTCAGGGGAGGCCACCGAGGGGAGCGGGTTGCAGGGAAACTCAATTTTCAGATCGTTGACTAGTTAGTTCCTCCGGAACGGAGCTCTTAGGGATGAAAGGCTGATCATTAAAACAAGCTTTCTGCTGTCTTTTAAGAGACCGTACGAGAACATTTTTTCATCTGAAAGTGAATTTATTGACTCCGTAGCATTCAGTTAAGGAAAGGTTCTAACAGAAGAAAGAAAATGATATTAAGAAAGCTAACAGGCAATAGAACTAAGTAATTGAGACTTTTATACTTGCACCTTATAGATTTCAGAAAGAACATTTTGTGACATACTTGTTTATAAAATATTAAAGTCATTAATAGTTACAGTTTCTGTTTGCGATGATGAAATGGTGATGGTTACACAACAAAGTGAATGTACTTCATGCCACTGACTTGTGCACTTAAAAATTATTAAAAGGATCAATTTTATGTTGTGTATATATTTTTTTAATAATTTTATTAATTTTTTACAGAGAGAAAGGGAGAGAGATAGTTAGAAACATTGATGGGAGAGAAACATCGATCAGCTGCCTCCTGCACACTCCCTACTGGGGACGTGCCTGCAACCAAGGTACCTGACCGGAATCGAACCTGGGACCTTTCAGTCCCCAGGCCGACGCTCTGTCCACTGAGCCAAACCAGCTAGGGCTGTTATGTATACTTTACTGCCATTTTAAAGGTACAAATTTATGTTAAATCACTTTTAGGATGTATATCAAGTAGAATAAGTTATTTCTTCCAGAGCCACTTGGTGATTTGCTCTTTAATTAGATTAAAAATTAGATAATGTGTTTCCTTACAAAATAAAGGCTTCTTATTACAGGCAGGAGACATAAGCTGTACTTCACTTTATAGTTTTACCAAAAGGTTAGGTTTTAATGACTGAACCCGGGGCCATGGCTGATGATACATGTGAGTCGGCCTCGTGTCTTTACCGAATTCACTCCTATCAGGCCACTCTGGGGGCCTGACCTCAGGCCTGGGCCTTCCCTAGCAGTGCTCGCCAACTGATGGTCCGGGGACCACTGGTATCCGTGAGGCCCGAAAGGTTGGCGACCGCTGCGCTCTAGGATGCTGTGGCCTGCACGGCTGTGCTCATTTCCGGTTGTCTAAATTCCCCGCATAACCGGGACAGGGTTGTGGGGGTTGGGGAAGAGTTAGGAAAGCCCTCCCTGTGCGGGCGAAAATGCTGGGGCGGCAGCCCTGGCCCGCGCTCAGCCTGGAGGGAGACCATGTAGGACACTGACTGGACAGCACTCGTTCAATCCCAGGGATTGACTCCAGAGGCCGGCGCCCGTTTCCCGAGGTCAGCACTTCCCTCCGCCCAGCGGGTTTGAACACGGACAGCATCGTTTCCATCGCTTTTAAATTGGGCCTAAGATTATATGGGCGTCTCACGGGAGCAGATGCCAAGGTCTCAACAGGAGCTGGCAGAGCAGAGCAGGCGCGCACGGCTGAGCTTCCTGGGTTCCCACTTGGTGTGACTCTCCCGCCAGGAGCTCTCGGCCCCCCAGAAACCTTCCCGTGCCCTCAGCGGATGTGGCCGGCGTCAGAGGCGGGCGTGTGGTCTTTCCAAATGACTTAGCAATAACGCGGAGAGGCGGGAAGAGGGACAGGGAGTAAGTGAGACATGTCCGGGGTCAGAACTGTCCCTAACCTCACGTCCCGTCTCTCCAGAAAGTGCCATTCGCTCTTTCAGGCCAAGGCCCTTACAGGCTGTGCACACAGACTGACTGACTCTTAAAAACACTGTCCTTTAGTGACACCAGGTGCCCCTCTCAGTTCAGAGGGGCTCATTCGCGGCCACCGTTACACACGGCCGAGGTTGGAAAGGAAAATAAATAAGCAAACGCAGTCAAGGCTGGCTCTGAGAGCAAGGAGAAGGACGCAGAGGGAAGGAGAGGTCTGTCTCTAGGAGAGTGGGCAGGGTGGGACCTGCCGGGATGCTGCTGTCAGGCCCGGAAGGCGAGCTCTGTGCTTTGTCAGCATGTGCGGTTTCTGTTTGCAGTGCTCAGCGACCCGCAGACCCGGGCCATCTATGACATCTATGGGAAGAGAGGCCTGGAGATGGAAGGATGGGAGGTAAGAGCGAGCGTGTCTGCTGCCCAGAAAGGTCACAAACACCTGCAAACAGCCACCCCAGCCCACCCTGGAGGAAGGACCTGGCAGCCATCACCAGGCGCCCAGGCCAGCAGCTCCTGCACAGTCCTGTTCTGCTCTGGCCTCTGGGCCCACGCCTCCAGTCTTCTCATTCTGGAGCCTTAAACCCTGTTTGTTTCTTCCTGTGTTTGTAATCATATGGGCATATTCATGGGGTCTGTGCTACTGGCTGATCAGATTGTCTGATCTCATTCTTAACACTAGTGTCCTGCTGCCCAGAATATCCCTATGAATACCCAGGTGGAGCCGGCGCCTGGGCCCCGGGGAGCAAGCGCTTCCGGTCCAGACCCCCCTTGTCCTTAAAGAGGCACAGGTCCCCACTGACAGGGGTCCCAGCACATATGGGCACAGCCACAGGCCACTGAACGGGGTGTAGGGACATGAGCCACTTGTGACAGACTTGAAGCCATTCTTTCTCGGTCTTTCTGGATCTTCAAGGTGAAATGGAATGGCTGGTGACATTTCCCTGAAGTGCCTTTATTTTTCTTTTCTTTCTATGAAGGAGAGGCCGACAGATTGAGAAGATAGTGCACACTTTGCAAAACTGTACCTCCCTTTTTTTAAAAATATATTTTATTGATTTTTTTACAGAGAGGAAGGGAGAGGGTTAGAGAGTTAGAAACATCAATGGGAGAGAAACATCGATCAACTGCCTCTTGCACACTCCCTACTGGGGATATGCCTGAAACCAAGGTACATGCCCTTGACCGGAATCGAACCTGCGACCTTTCAGTCCGCAGGCCGATGCTCTATCCACTGAGCCAAACCAGCTAGGGCTGTTCCTCGCTTTTTGTTCCAGACAGGGTAACTTTGGGGACAGGAACGTGCCATGGGGTGCACGTGCCCGTGGCTTGTGAAAACCAGCAGGTGGGCATGCTGCTCAGGTAAATACACCAAGCAGCCGCTGTCCGTCATTGAGGACTTGCAGTTCGTTCTCAGATGGATGTCACAGTGTTTTTATTCTAACACTGCCTTTGAAAGAAGCACCTTCCCACCCTAGCCGGTTTGGCTCAATGGATAGAGCGTCAGCCTGTGAACTGGAGGGTCCAGGGTTCGATTTGGATCAAGGGCACATGCCCGGGTTGCAGGCTCAATCCCTAGTAGAGGGTGTGCAAGAGGCAGCCAACCAATGATTCTCTCTCATCATTGATGTTTCTATCTCTCCCTCTTTCCTTCCTCTCTCTCTAAAATTCAATAAAAATATTTTTTTAAAAAAAGAATCACCTTTCCCCCTTTTTAGTAATTAGTGGTTCAGCTAGGGTTATCAAAGAAAATGTTGGTTTTAGGATTTTTTCCCCCAGGTACTTCCTGAAAGCAGAAGTGAATGAATTTCCTGAAAGTGTTTTGGGGTTAGGCCAGTTTTTGTATTTATTTTTCTATATTGCTGAATAGTAAAATGAAGTTGCACAAAAATCCATAATGTGACCCCATGATGTTAAAATATGTACACATACATGCATATGCCTAGAAGACTTGTAGGAAGACACATAAAACACGAAGTGTTAGCTTGTGAGAAGAGGGAGAGTGGTGTATCCTTCTGTACTGCTTTGATTTTTTTTTTTTTTGCTATAAACGTATTTTTTAAAATAATTTTAAACTTATGATTTCTAAGATGGCTTTTTCTCACATCACCCACCTTTTAGATGTTCTTTCAGTGGCCTCTCACCACGTCCCTGCGTCTCCTACTGATACAGGGAATGTGCTGGCTGGTCTATTTCCCTCTCGTCCATCTAATGCCTCACTCCTGTCTGCTCTGCGCTCTAGTGTATCTCACAGGCCGTAGAACTTGGGGCCCTTAGCACGTGGTGCGTTTCCTCTCTCACAGATGTGACTGAGGCCCCCGGGCTCTCCCTGCCCCTCTCATCTCAGCTGGATCGTCTCCTGTCATGAGGAGCTAAGAGTGGCCAGGGTGAGCGGCCTGATTGTCTCATAGGTTTGATGTCGTTGCGCATCCCTGGGTAGTGATGCTCACGTGGCCTGCTCTTTATTACCGAAGTATTGTTTATACTAAAGCGTAACTGATGTTATAGTCTGAGGCTCACGTCACATTGTAGGGGGAAGAGTCCCATAATTCATAAAACACCCAGACCTGGGCTTGGGGTTCCTCGATCTGAGAAGCTCGGGGCACCTCTGGTGACGGCCCCGCACACGGGAGCGGTGGCAGTGCCATGTGGACACTTGGCCTTCATCTTGATGTTTAACATTTGTTTTCTGGAACTCATTAGGGAATTTAAACTGAGACGTAAGGTGGTGTTTTCTTTATAAGATTCCTGCAGCCTCAGAGACAAGTTACTAAAATGACGGGACCATGACCTTGGTCATGACCAGGGCGCAGAGCTGCGAGGCTGTGCAGGTGAGCCTCGCCATCTGCTGTAAAACTCACCCGGTTTCGTTGACATCTCCAAAGTCCTCGACTAGGGGTGCACAGCAGCTTAACGACGTGAGCTTTGGCTGTTTCCTCGCTTCCTGGGTCCCTAATTGCTCTCCCCTGGATCCCCCTAGGTTGTGGAAAGGAGGAGAACGCCCGCCGAAATCAGAGAAGAATTTGAGCGACTGCAGAGAGAGCGGGAAGAGAGGAGGCTGCAGCAGCGAACCAACCCCAAGGTGAGCCACCCCGCCCGGGTGTGGAAGGCTGCAGTGCCCACCGAGGGCAGGTCAGCATCGTTAGGTGCTGGTGGTGCGAAAGGAGTACCGTGCAGAACAACGTGTGGGGGAGGGCAGAACCACTCCCCTGCGCCTCCCAGAAGCCAGGGAGACTCCGAGCAGAAACAGCTCGCTCTCTGCGACGTCTGTCTGGCCGTCCTGCCGAAGCCTTGACTGGAAACCGGTTAGAGGCCGGTGTCGGGAAGGGGAGCACGAAGCGCACTGAGCAACAGGCTCCTGTGCCAATCAGGACTCGGAGAGCCGGGCGATGCGGAGGGGCTGGGCCGGTTCCCAGCTGCACCCAGCAGGGCCTGTGCTCATCACCCAGGACAGCGGGGCCACGTCGCCAGTCCCCAGGCTGCTCTTCAGTGGTGAGGTGACCCTCTTTAACTCAGTCAGGTCCCTGGCGGAGCTCATGTCATGTGATCAGTGACTCCCGGGTCTGGGTTACGTTTCAGGCCTGCATATGCCGTCTTTTTCCTTTGATTTGTTGGGGGAGCAAATGCTTCCGGGTGCGTGCCCCGCCCTGTGGCTAATGGCTACTCGCCTGTGGCCCGATGATTCTGTCCCGCTGTTTAGCCAGGGGACTCCGCAGCCAGGCTCCGTCTGCAGTCTGGCTGGGGTGGCCTGGCAGGCAGCCTGAACATCTGTGGCAAAGAGCAGGTGCGAGCTCACAGCTGAGGAGCACGGTGATGTGAGCTTTTGGTAAATACGTTCTAGAAGGTGGAAGGCATTGAAAGGACTGAAGGTTTAGAAACCTCCGTCTATTTGCGTCCCACCTTTCAGAGTGCAGAGCACAGGCCAACCCTCTCCTCCCACCCCCTCCCCTCAGCTGTGGCTTTGGTAACGCACTGTTGGCTCTGGGCGGATGGCGTCACTGCTGCGTCAGCTCAGGGCGTGCGAGGTCGTCAGGAAGCTAAACACCTTGGTGGTGCCCTGAGCTGGTGGTCCCTTCGGCTCTCCCGGCTGGTGCTGGGCGGGTGGAGGCGAGGGTGGAGGGCATGGGAGGGAGCCTGGCCGGAGCGGGCTGTGGCGCTGGTGTCTGCTGTTCTGGCTGGAGTTTTGCAGCATTTGGAGCAGGGAAGGGGGAAAGAACATCCCCATAGCCTGAGCCTGTCCTGTGATGAAATCGGCCATCTGGGTGTGCGCAGTGTTGGCCGCTGGGATCTGTGGAAATGTGCCTCCGGGCCCTGCTCTGTGGAATGGGGTGCAGCTGTGACCATTCCACCAGCAGGCCAGCGAGTGGAAAACCCCGGCACTTTGCTCCTCCTGGAACTGCTGCCACGTCCGTAGGATGTCTTCTAACCAGCAGTTCTGAGCGATGACCAGCCGCCTCCACAGTGTTTTGAGGAGGGTTTCAAACTGGACCTTTGGTCCCATTTCTGAGTGTTCGGCTTTTCAAGATGAGTGGGAAGGTTAAAAACATTCTTACCCCGAGAAGAAAGGGGTGATCTCTTTTAAGGAGACCATAGGGAGGAGGACCCCTTCAGGCTCAGCACTGGCCTCCCCCCGCTCACCCCCAGGAAGGATCACAGCTTGTGGGGATCGGCAGATGAGACAACATTCGTGAGCTGCCGTCTGGAACCGGATGGGTATTTCTCTCCATTTTCGTGAACAGGAGGCCGTTGGCAGGGGTTTTCAGGAGGATGTGCGTGCCAGGAACGGGGGCATCGTAGGTCAGAAGTTCTGATCTAAACTGATGGGCCCAGACAGAGCACTGGGCCGCGTGTGGTTTCCTCACCCATGAAAGGAGCATACCTGCCCTGACTAGTACACCAGGCTGTTAAATGGTTGAGGAAATAGGAGTAGATACTGAATTAGAGCAAGGCGAGCTGCCACATAAACGCAGAGGGTGCTGGGCCCCAGCGAGGCTAGGGGCTGGGTTTTGTTTCAGTGTTTCGGCAACACTGCAGGGGGAGCACCTAGTTGGTCAGGCAGTTCCCTGGCCTGGGGCGCTGGGTGTGGGTGGGGTCGTGGATAGCACTGTGGGACAGGAATGAGTGGAACCCCAGCTCCAGTGTGTGGAACACGCACACCTACGCTGAGGCAATGAGGTAGAGCTTCTGGATTGGGGGTCCGATCCCGCCCTCCGGCCTTCGCTCAGTTTCCATGTGAAAGGGGGGTTTGCCATGAGGCCCACTGCTTGGGGTCAGAAGTCCTTAGTTTGATTGCCTCTAATCTCTGCCTTTGCTGTGGGAATAAATTCCTCTGTATTGCCAGCAGGGACGGGGTCCAGGGTCTCCTGGGCCGTCCACACTGATGGGAGCACCCGCCACCTCCCTCCGTCTCTGAGGCCTGTTTTGTTGGCGCACTCTGTCCCACCTCCTGCCTTTGAGAGACTGAGATCATCCAGCGGGCGGCTCAGTGCCGCCCTCATTCGTCTTGGTTATTTCAGTTCCTTTGGCAGCACCCACAAGTCTTGTCTCCGGGGACAGCAGCCTCTGTGAGGGTCTTTGAAGACAGACCTGCCTTCCCGTGAACTGCCCGGAGCCCCCGTGATGCTGAGCCTGCGGGAGGACTCTGGGGAGCTTGATTGTGTGTCTCTGAGGGTAGAGCTGCTTTCTTTGTTGACCCTGTTCTGTAACAGTTTCGTGGAGATTGTCCCAGTGTTTCCTGGACCGTCCCATTACCCTCTCTGATTTTAAAAGGCCATCTTCTCAATGGTTCCTGTAATAGCTTAGAAACAGTTCAGCTCCATCAGAGAAAAAATTAAATCATGTATCAAGGAAGACATAGAACCATGAAAACACTTTTATACCCCAAAATGTTTTCATAAAGATAGATGAGGACATTACTCAGTTATTTTGAGAGGATTTTGTAAAGATTTGTTTTGGTTGCCATGGCTAATGATTATAGCCATCGGAATGGCCTGTGCTTATGACTGCAGCTTGCTCGGTGGAAGCGATCCTGGTGTCATAAACCAGCTCGGCTTCCGCAGGATCATCAGCGGAGGAAAAGCAGGCCGATCCCATCTGCTCGCTGTGCGGTGCAGGAGGGCCGTTTGCCGTGTGCAGCACTGGGCTGCGCCTGGAAGGGAAGAGACTGGGAGCTGTCATACAAGGAAGGGGACCGCGCGTGGCAAGTGCTGTGACAGGGGGTGGGGCCTCTGGGACTGGAAAAGGTGCTCAGACAGGGAGGTGGGGCTGCCGGAGGGTATGGCTGGGACCCAATGGTTCTGAGAAACCTGTGAAGTTTGAGTTGGGGCCTCCATGACTTCGGGGAACGCAGGTTCTGCTTGGATCTCAGAACGAGTCGAGCCGGAGTCACCGGAGGCGCCATGGGTTCGTTCATCTGCTGTAATAACGGGAGCGAGCGGCACGTCGCCTCTTAACGGAATTGCCTCTCGGGGTGGGACTTTCAATCAGTAAATTGCTGCTATTGAGATTGCATTTGACAGACGTTTCTCACATTATCCTTATGGCCACATAACAGAACATAAACATGGAAATGGTTCAGGATGGAACACTCCTGGCTGAAGAACAACCGACTCGACTCAGCGAGGGCTGACGCAGGCGTCATTTCCAACCTGCTCAGGCCTCTCATCCTGGGTAAAGGGCTCGAACTGGGCGGCCTCCCCTGCGCCTGGCTGGGGCTTCCTCGCAGCCTGGCAGGCCCAGGGCCCGTGGGTGTTCCGTGTGGGCCCGAGGCCCCCATGGAGTCTGCCATCACCTCCACTGACTTCTGTTGGGCAAAAGCAAGTCCTGGCCAGTGCAGAGCTGAGGAGAGGGCCCTGCCAGCGGGCACCGGGGGACCCTGGCAAGGCTGCTTCGGTTCCGCTTCCACACTCACAGCTGTTTTCTGAGGAAGGGACACGGAAAGCCTTTTCTCCTTTCATAACGTCACTTGCCACCTTCATAAAAGTTGTGTTTCTATTTAAATCTCACGTTTCTGACATTTAATTGACTCTTCTCTGTACATCACAGTATTAATTGAGAAAATAGTGTCTTAATTCTAAATTTCTCGTTCAGAACTTATAAACCCTTTGGCCCACGTACCTTCCCGGCCATTGTCTTTTTACCTCCACTCGGAGCGTTTTTCTCTGACAGGCCTCTTATAAATTGTCTGTGATCTTGATGCCTCATTGAATTTAGATGGCACAGAACTGTAGGCTTTTCAATCTTGTTCCATTCCAAGACAGAATATAAATTTAACTAATTAAAAATGACAGCTTCTCCAAAAGATTCTCACCAAAAGTTAAAATATTCCCTAATGCCACTGTGGAATTTCACAACGAAATCAATTGCTGGAGCTCTGATCATGTTATTTGTTTGGGTTTTCCCTCAAGAGATGAATTCAGGGTATTCTCAGTGACAGGCCTTATGTTCAGTGATTGCAGTTTCTTCTTTTTTTCAGATATTTTTATTGATTTCAAAGAGAAAGGGAGAAGGGAGAAAGATAGAAACATCAATGATGAGAATCATTGATTGGCTAACTCCTGCACGCCCCCTACTGGGGGTTGAGCCCACAACTTCGGCATGTGTCCTTGACTGGAATCAAACGCAGGACCCTTCAGTCCGCAGGCCTTCGCTTTGTCCACTGAACTAAACCAGCTAGGGCAGTGATTGCCGTTCCTTACATGTTTTTGTTTTTACTTTTATTTTTTATTTTTTAGATATTTTCATTGATTTCAGAGAGGAAGAAAGAGAGAGAGATAGAAACATCAATGATGAGAATTATTGGTTGGCTGCCTCCTGCATGCCCGCCCCCCACTGGGGACCAAGCCTGCAACCCGGTCCCTTGACTGGAATCAAACCTGGGACCCTTCAGTCCACAGGCCGACACTATCCACTGAGCTAAACCAGGTAGGGCTCCTTACGTGTTTTTAAAGCTGTTGGTTTATAGTGCTTGATTTTAAAAGGGCCTCTACAAGGACTCAGATGTGCCTACTACAGCCTGTAGTGCCAGACTGCAGGTCTTTTGTATTCGGAATCAGCCTCACAAAAGATGACTCTGTCGCTCTGAACCTACAGAAACGCTCGTGCAGTGTGACACTCGCAGCTGATTTCCAGAGGGGGGCTCTCGCAGCTGGTTCCGACAGGCGTGCACCGTCACACTGTGGCTAATTCCAAGAATGCCCTGCTCCGTGGGTTCCTTGCTTTAGTGAGAACATTTTACCATGATGTTGTATTTGAGTCCGACCACAAAAATAGGTCTACATTCAGTGTGGGGCTTTTAGACCAAGTTTATAGGAGCGTGTCACCCTCAATAAGTCCAGTGATTACGAAGGTTGATAACTCGGCTGGTTGTCTGATTGAAGCATCTGATGGAGCTTGGGCGTCACATGCAGCCGTGGGGTCTCCTGCTAGAACCAGCACAGGAAGA